ACATTTGCAGTTCATTGGTTATATATATATATACATTTATGTATCCCTTTGGTTGCCAAAAGGATTTGTGCCCATCTGTTTTGGCAGCTACCGTATCCCCGACCGAGTTTTTCTTCTCCCCGTGCCAAAACATGTATATACTTGCCAACGTGCATGTTTTACGCGCGTTCTCTGTTTGGAAAACTGCCTAAGACCAAAGGAGATTAATTTTCTTGCACACGCTAACGTACGCGTGTATAATATATGTTACGTGTCGTCGTCAACCTTACGCGTAGAAGAAATAAAGAACTTTTCTTGACCGTGTATACTTATACACGGCTTTCTATATAATTGGAGAGCTTTTTTGTCACGTGTCTCATAGGTATTAGTCATAAGTACAAAGGGGGTGGGGGGGAGGGCTCGTATAGGTCTTTTGAAAATGAAAAAAAAGAAAAAAGGGACGATTTCGCACATCTGCGCTTTCTCTTCCTCTCCTTTATTTCGTCGCGTGACAGCTCCTTTCTACGTGAGTCAACTGCATGTATACGTATATACTTTCCGAAATATCTATACTTCCTTTTTTTCTCCCTCTCTCTCTCACACAACCCACCAAGATCTGGATGGTCCATCTGTGCCCCTTTTTTCCCACAATCCCTGTATACAAATATATATGTTGTCTCTCTCTCTCTCTCTCCTTTTGTTTGCCCGTGCGCGCGTGCCAGAGATAGAACACCCGCCAAATCTTGATATTATAAATTACATCCCATGCGAAATATACGTAAGACCACTCGCGTATCTATAGATGTGCACGGGATAAGAATCCATCGCCCCGGCTTTTTTCCCCTCGAGGCGATATCGTACATAAATGTAGGTGTATTGTAACGTGTATACGTGCGCATTGTATATACGCTCCCATTAGTACACGTGTACGTTTTTTTACGTCATTAACTGTAAAGTAATAATGGAAATAGAGAAAAGCAGAAATATTTTCACGAAACCCGTTATTCGGTTGTTCATGGGGGTATATAGTTTACTCGCAGTTGTTCATACATACATTGTGGCAAATATTTGATTGAAGCTGTAATAGTAAAGGAATAGGTGTCCGCGATTCCTTTCGAGGAAATAATTATACATACATAATTATATGTACTTGTTCTCCCCTTCTTTTTGCATAACATTAATTAGTAATTAATTAGTAATAATTTCCGTTATCGCGTCACCATATCCGCGAATGAAACGCTTTTTTCTTTCACTCCCTAGTAAATCGTGCAATGAAAAATGTTGTCTGTCCCTTAGAAATGACACGGGTGCGTATGGAATAACAAAAAATACAGAGAACCATACGAAAAAGGCCCTCTCGTAAAAGTTCACTTGGAAAATACAGTGCAATTGAGCTGGGATGGCTTTTATTTTACCCCCCCCCCCCCTCGAGAAGGAGAAAAAAAAAACAACACTAGGGGTGGTGGTCTGAATTAATCATCCTCCCTATACATATACCCCATATCATAACAAACTAAACCGATGTAGGCGCGTAATGAAACGTACAATTTTTTTTTTCCCCTCGAAATTATGCCCCAATCGCTTTCACATGCAACCCCCAAGCCATTGGTACATAATACATATACGCCTCGCTCCTTTGTCGATACATAAGTATAATAATGCACTCGTATCCCCCCCCCTCCATTGTTATTTCCTTCCCTTGCAATTTCACCTTCTTCCAATACATGCACCGCGATGAGTACTCACGACCTGACCCCCATATATACACCTATACAAAACATATTTGCGGACGAAGAAGAGGAGTCCGGCGCCGCGTGCAGTCTGGCTCTTCTCCTCTTCTTCGTCTGCGACCGAGTCGCCCGTGAGCGCGGTCTTTATATACTTACGCGCTCTGCCTTATCTCGTGTACAATATATACCTATAGACCCCCGGAGAAGTGGATCGTGCACGCGGATGCACATACCTATATATAGTATTGTAGTATGCCCTCGAAGAAGCAGTACAACCTCGTGCAGAATGACGAGAACGACACGCGCATACCGCTCCACAGCGAGGAGGCCTTCCATCGGGGCATCGTTTTCCACGCCAAGGTGCGTACAACACACACACACACACGTACATGTATANTATATATATATACGTCTGCTTCGCCAGACATTTATATAAGTACTGCAGTGTGCACACTGCACGCACCGTCCCTTCTCTCTCTCTCTCTTCATTCCTCGGGTATAGTAGATACGCGCAGCACTGTACGAATTGGATTTTCTTTTCTTTGCTCCCTTCCGAGATATACTTTTAACACAGAGTTTTTTGACCCTTTTCTCTCTACATCGGATACATACAGAAGGGGGGGAAACGAGAAAGAATCGGATATTATTTATTCGTTACGTATGGGTACGTACAATTAATACACATAAATGCGGACTTGAAAAATACGTACAAGTATAATTAATATATATATATATAAATGAGAGGAGATCAATATACATACATACATATATATAATGCTCCGAGGGCTGATTATAGAAAGCCGTTAATTGTTTCGCCTCGGGCGCGCCGAAGCGCGCGCGTTTATTTTTATTCGCGAAAAGGAAAAAAAAGGATCCCCGCCGCCGGCCGATTCGTTTGCTCTCGGGTGAAAAAAATAAATAAATAAAAATGTATAGATTCATATCTCCGCGTATGATGTTTCAATGACCCCCTTTTCCAGTGAGTACAATCCGACATTGAACTACGTGCGAGACTACATATTTCATATATATACTTGATTTGATATCTAATGCCTTCGGGGCCGTTATATTAAATGTCCACGTATGTAACATACGCGCTACGGAGGCGGGCAACATTTCTCCTGTAAAGGGCCATTTTTTCGTCCGTCTTCGCGATGACGAGTTATCGAAATCTCGTGAAATTCAACAACGAGCTTCGAAAGTCGTTCATTCAAGCTCATACATCATTAACATTTGCAGTTCATTGGTTCGATGGAGGTGCCGCGACCCACCAGCCGAATGGAGATCGTGGCGGCGATGCGGCGGATCCGCGTGAGTATATACCATATGTGCATATATATATTGTATTATCGTATACGTGTACATTAGCACACACACGCGCGCGCGGTCGTAGCGTGCAAAAACAAGTTTTCACCGCCGAGAGCCGATAGCGATCGGCTGTTTTGCTTCTATACGTGTATATGTGAGCTCTAAGCGATCCGACTCCTTTTGCAGTACGAGTTCAAGGCCAAGGGGATCAAGAAGAAGAAAGTGACGCTCGAGGTCTCCGTCGACGGTCTGAAGGTCACGCTGAGGAAGAAAAAGGTACGTACGTACATATTATACGTGGGGCGGTTCAAACAAGGATATTATTCACCATGCACACATTACAGGTATATCGATAGTTCCCATTCGCATTGCACTTTTTTTGGACGATTTCAAATGTCACTCCAAAAAACTTTTGTCTCCCGAATGTAACTCTATTTTTTTCCTCCAATAACTCCCGTTTTGTTGTTTCTCTATTCGATGGACGTTTCCTTGCAAACAATGTAATCCTGCGATCTTTGGCGCTCGGCTTGCTTGTAAAATGTCTAAATGTTCAAGATCTGTAAACTTCCCTTTTTTTTTCTTTTTTTTTTTTTTTTTTTTTTTCCTCCAACAACGATATCAGCAACGATAAGACTCGAACAAGGGACAAATGGCCAAACTATCGACTAACCGGGCGAACTTTTAGTTTCCAATTTTGCAGAGGAGGAAAAAGCAACACCAGTGGCTCGACGACAGCAAACTCGCGCTGATGCACCACCCGATCTACAGGATATTTTACGTGTCGCACGACAGCCACGATCTCAAGATATTCAGCTACATAGCGCGCGACGGTACCGGCAACTCCTTCAGGTGCAACGTTTTCAAATCCAGCAAAAAGGTGAGCACCTTCATAACAACATTTACAAGCCTTTCCACCCCTTGTTGCGATGATTTGCACAATTTATCGCCTTTGGGCTCACAAGCGGGATTAGAGAGTCGATTAACCGAGCGGTTTTAGTTGCACCTTGTGATACATTGATGTTAACGAGCGGCTAATTGCCCGCGAAACAATTTACACGCGGTCCCGTTTCGCTGCTCATGCTACACGTATAATATCCAACCGATCGAGGAGGACGGCGCACTGCGGCAAAAATAATACATTATGCCACACTCGGCCGGTGGCGCTTGGCCAAAAGAAACCTATTACCATCACCAATAACCCTGTATGTACAGGTGGACAAATGGAAAAAGCGTCCCATGTATATGCTCAAGCGTAACTCGCGATAAAAACTGTTTTGTCGAGTGCTCTGTGGCCAAAAAAAAAAAAATACTTGCACCCCAACACAGCGTGGACGTGCTTCTAATTTTCCACTCGACCCGAGGAGTAGCCTTTACCCTTTCTCGAGAGACGAGGTGACGCTTATCAGCCGGGCCGTTTGAGCACGGCGGCTCCTACATATATATTTGTACGATACGCGCCGGCCAAATATCTCCGGCCCCTCTCCGCTGTTTTTATCTCTCTATAAATAAATGGCACTATGCTCTCCCACGCGCGCGCGTTACCGGGACACGTATACACTCAAGACTCGAGAGGTAGAGAGCCACCGCGAGCAAACAGTCTCGTCGCGACGACCTATACCTTTTGCCAATATAATACTCATATACCTACGCTCCGATCTGTTTGCTCGTTTGGCTATTTTTTTTTTCCTTTTTTTCTTCGTAAGATGGGATGGTAGATGGCCCGCAAGCTTGCCGAAAGCTCGATACGCTCGGACCAACGTATAATATATACACGGGTGCAATTATATTTGTGTCCCACCCCCCCCCCCCATTTGACCGGGCCAATTGATTTATCGAAGTTTATGGTGACGTGTAACCCAGTGTGTACATACACTCGTTGATTAATGGCCCTCCTACATGGGGGGGGGGGGGGGGTATTCGTTATTTGGGTTATTATCCAAGATCGTATATGCGCGTGTTCGGAAAACTGTTCGCGCGCTGGTTTCTGGGCTATAAAAGATATATGGTAACGAGGTTACCGGTCGCGGTGTGATTTACGAGAGAAGCTACTCTCGCTGCAACTATCGGGGATAACAATGGAAAAGAAAAACTCTCGTCTCGTGAAATTGTGGGGCGTTGGGTACGTACGTCTGTGTGTGGATGCCCATACGTATGTATTTGTTATATGGCGTGGAGGAGAGCTGGAAAAAAGGGAGGAATCGCGAAAAGCGTGTTTTTCTCGAAAAGTAAATCCTTGGATGTACAGGTTGTTGTAATATGCACGCCTTGGCGTGGGTAAATTTACGGTATCGAAATGTTGGAAGAAAATAAAAAAAAAATTAAAAAAATATATGAATAGAGTGTTCAATTTAAAGGTGGAACAATGCCTCCTCTCCCGGGGGAATTATATCGCCCATTGGCAGCCACGGCGTGTATGGTATCGTGCGCTTAGGAGAGCTTCAAAACAATGCAGGCGCGAATTTACAATTTATCCGGTACTTATTTCATTCCTTTTATCTGGGTGAAAAAATTTATACGTTTACAACGTAGGTGGTTGTGCATCGGAGACTGGATGTCGTCGTTAGACTTCTTGCGTTTATCTCTCTCTCTATCTCTCTCTCTCTCTAATCGCACGGTTATTGCGAGAGAAGATGGATAATTTTTACTTAGAAGTGCGTTGCAAGCGCTTGTTTAGGATCGTTGTGGACATGTAATATATATTATATGTATATATATGTGCAGGCCTAAAGTAGGTACTATTGTAGGAGTGACGAGGCGTGCCTTGGTGTTTCGAGACTGTATGGGTATACCTATATATTCAAAGTGTGTCATTTGTTTTGGAAAATAAGTCAAAAGCTACATTGGTAAAAATTACCATTTTTTTTTTTTTTTTTTTTAAAGGCGAGAACGTATTTAAATCATTATCGATTCGCCACCCCAACTTGTGCAACATCCAATCAGCCGCGATGACTTTACGCAAACCAGCACGTGATAGTCGTCCTATGGAAATCAACTATACATTTTAGAATTCAATAAACGCAAGTTAATATAATTATACGCGCACTCCTCGAAACGGGCCAAACCCGGATTTCTTTGCGAAGATTTTCCGTAAAGCTTGACGGACGATCAAACTAAATGACGTGTATCCTCTATGTATACGAGTTCTTTAGCTGACGTCCGTAGCTCCAAAGGTTTGTAGTTAAGTTAGTCATGGTTTGACGGGAAAATCAAGACGAGAGAGAGAGAGAGAGGAAATTGAAATTAAACGCGCGGGCGAGAGGTGGTGCATGCGAGTGTGGAGTTTAATTACTTTTCACTGATGTACGGTCACGTGCATTGCCAGTAAGGGCCCTAGTGAAATTTTAATGAGAAGCTGCTGCGCGAGAGTGTATATTACTATACAATAAAACTATATTGCGAGCGTATACAATATACGGTTCAAGTTACGCAGCTCGTCTCTCGTTAATAGGTAAATTTTGCGGGTTACTCTGCGCGTTTGGGGATAATTCGATGCGAGTATGAAAGGTGGGTTGCTTCTGCTTATTTTGCGGATGTACACCATTGGTCGTTTTAACGAAAGGGGCCACATTGCTTTGGAGCTTGAAACGCGGAATACACCATTTAAATTGAATGCTTGTGTGAAATTTTAATCGCATGAGAGTTGAATTTTAACTTTAAGAAGTTACAACGTACTGCATCACAATGACAACACGGAAAAAATGCCCCGTTAAAGGTCCCCGACCGGGCACCTAATAGGCATCAGGCAAAAAGCGAGTAAGTGAGATATACGAAAAGCTTGACAGCAGCCCCTCTTTCTCTCTCCTCAAGAGCCGCAGCGCAAGAGAGAGGACGGTGTTCCGAATTATAAATAAACCCTGCGGCTTCGAGCGCGGGAGGAAGGGAGGGCCGAGAAAAATCCCGGAAGCACGTCCCGCGGACAGTGTAACCCCGACCGGCTAACCGCGAGTTTTGCATCTTGCGAGGCGCGTGTTCCCATGCATCGGTATACTTGCCGATGTCTACAGCTTTTTTTTTGCGCGACCGGCGAGTAATGGCCTTTTAACCGTGTGGACCTCGACGCGCGTCCGAGGCAAAGGAGGTCGATAGTGCAGTGTCACGCGGCGCGAGTGTGCACCATCAGGTACTTACAGTGCGGTGAGCAAGTGAAAAAGGAAGAAAGGGGGAGAAATGAAAAAAAAACCAACTAGTTAAACTCGAAGTGTGCGGTGCGTCACCTTCTCGTCTCGTCGCCTCGAGAGAAAAAAACGGGAGTTCAGCTTCTGCTGCGGGACTCTTTTTTTTTTTTTTTTTTTTTTTTTACGCGCTAATGTACGTGCCGGACGTCTCTCTCTCCCTGTCTCCGAACGAGACTCTTTTATATAATTATAGCAGTACCGCGTATATACATAAATAACTATGGATACATCTAAATTGTAGTGTCAATAAAACCAGGTGTTCTGTATAAGGTGTATGTATAATTTTTGCAATTGCCACGATGCTCTTTGTAGCAACGTTACGTTTTTTACTGTTTAGCCCTCGGTTATTGGTACATGCGTTATTAACTTAAAAGTCGTACGTTTACGTGATTCATCACACGTGGGGAGGTGATGCCGTAAATTTATTGCTTATTTTTTTTCGTAACAATATGCGGACCCTTTGGAGGACAGGTAAATCTGGCGCACATAATATATGTTCATCTCGGTGATCCGCGTCTTGTCTCGTTACTGTCAAGACCCAGTGAGTTACCGTTCGCTGTGTTGTATACACGTGCTTTTAAATATACCTAAATGTGCCGTTTCTACTTAGCTCCTCTTGTACCTTTATTCATGTGATACTTGTACGTTTTAATGACGGGAAGTTCATTATCAACAACGTCGCTACTGTTTTTTCGAGTAGTATCGAGCGTTATTTCTTCACTCCATCGTAAATTGAAAAGTAGCGTGGTATAAGTATACAGGTACGACATAAAGACATAAACTTTTGTGAGACAGTTGCCCAAGCCAGTCAGCTCATCGCGAAAACATCCGTATAGTATAGGAATACTTACTTGAGCGTCGCTAAACGAAAAACTCGATCGTGACAATTGCGTTTATCAATGGTTCATGTACTTACTCGTGTACTATTATTTGTGGTACCACACACGGACACAACTTTCCCTCCGTATTACTCGGTACTCCTACACTTACACAGGGCATCCAAAGCTCCAGAAAACTTTTTGTCGACACTATAGCGACGATATTATTGGTTAATTTTGAACCAAACAATCGCGTATTCCATACAATACTATATCAATTCAAAGCGACCCAGTTACCATTACTTTATACGGAAAAATAAAAGAGCAAAACCTTAAGATCGTGGTGTTGGTAGCGCTTGGAATTTAAATAATATAAGTCTAACCTCGGAAATTCGAAAACTACCTCCGAGGGAGGAAAACTCCCTGCCGGCGCGGGGTAGAACAGATCGTATACATGTACGGCCCGACGGAAAAGTAATTTCGCCAGGCGCCGCGTTTATTTGTATATACAACTGCGGAAAAAGCTCAATTGTGAAATTGTACAACACCTACGCGTATGTAAACGCGTTTAATTTTAACGCGAATTTCGGGCGGTGCTCCCGAATAGGTAGTTAGCTGGTCCATGCGGATAATATACGGTTGTCGCGGGTGATTATGGATGCTATTTTAGGTCGGGGGAGGCGTCACGGCACGCGAGAAAAAACGCGGCGTTTGAGCTTTTTTCGTGTTAAAATCTCAGCAGGACGGATCGGCGGGGTAAAGCGGAGAATGAGAGAGTGAAAAACTCACGAGACATAAACCATCGGAGTATATTGCGTGGTGAAAAAAAAAGTGGTGTCGAGGATGCTGCGAAGCAGGGGCCGGAGCGCGAGCCCCGCGGTCGAGTCGGGGGTCACCGAGGGCGTGTCGGTGGTAGAGACGCCCAAGGGCCGGAAAAAGTTCTCGTTCAAGGAGCCCGAGATCATGGGCTTCCTGGGCTTCAGGCGCGTGTCGCTCATGGGACGCGGCAGGAGCAGTCCCAAGCCCGCGCGCTCCAAGAGCCTACAGCCACCGGCAAAGCCCGACGACCGCCAGGAGCCGCGGAAGCTGCGCTCGCGCGACCTCGAGGAGCTCGAGGTACAATATTGTGCACGACCGTCCGGGTGTGTTTGGTTTACCCCTCCCCCCTCCCCCGTAACAACAGTGGCTATATGTCTAACTCAATTCAGCGTTGTAATTTTGATTTTTTTTACTTCTTTCTCTGAGTGTGCGTGTGTACGTTTTCCTTTGTTTTACTGTGCTCGTGTGTACAGTACAGTAGAGATTCGTTACGCGCGAGCTCGATGATCATTTTTATTGTGTGTATTGTACGCGCTTGTGACGTTGATGCTCGGACCGCGATGACGTCTCACTGCAATGTGACCACTAAGCGTTTAAAAAAAATAGAGTCACAGTATACATAATCCAAAAACACGTTTACTCGATTCTGCAAGTACCATTGCTGAGTGTATATCTTTGCGTGTCTCGAAAACTACCTATACTTCTGTGATCGATGTAATATGTGTACATTTTTTTTTTTATTGTTACTTCGTCCGTATATTACACGCGCATCGACTCCCAGCCACAACCTGTACACTATGTATATGTGGATACACGTGATTTCCTCGCTCCACCTTTTTTCCCATTACTCCTTTTGTTGTTGTTTTTTTTATTTTTTATTTTTACAACTCCATTTCTCGGAAAGACATTTGCTAACTTTGGTCGGTAAGTCGTAAAAAGAAGTGAACAAAAGAGGAGGAGGAGGAAGCAGAAGTTGGATCTACATAGGGTGAGGTAACTCGCCCAGTTTCCAGGAGGCGATGGCGCAAGGGGGCCGTGCCCGCGGCCTTTTTGTTCCGACGACGGACGGGCAACGGGTTTTCCGCTCGATATAATTTTCATAATTGCCATACCATCGCGTTCCGTATTGCTTTTCTTTTTTTTCTCGCACCACGTCCGATAACACCGAGACCCCTACATTTATATACAGCGGATATTGCAATTACCGTGAAAATTGCGGGTATTTTGAAAAGATCCATATAGATTTTCACAGTTATAGGATCTGTAACTGTGAAAATTGACGCTCGTTTCGACAAATCCTTCTTGAGTTTACAATTATACCTTCGTTGCGTAAATAATAAACAGTTTTCGCGCTCTGTTTGACTCCATATTATACTGTAGCGTTGATTTTTTTCTTTGACTCTTTTGAAAAATCACACCCACGCATCTTTTACCCCCAAAGGCTACAAAACGAGCCGTATAAAACTCAACAATTCACAAGCTGTGAGATGATGTACACGTAGTGTGCGAAATTGTAATGGATGATAGGATACACCGAATCTACCAACTAATCTCGTTTTTAGTTTCAACAAAAACATAACATGTATAATATATCACACGTGTGTGTGTGTGTGTGTTGTTTAACAAATTGCAGAGCCAGGCGATGCGAGTCGTGAGGACGGTCGGCCAGGCTTTCGAGGTGTGCCATAAACTAAGCTTGACCAACCCGGCCAGCGGTGAAAAAAACAACAACAACAACAACAGCATAAACGACGAGGAGGAGGACGAGAACAGCCAGTGCAACAATTCGGAGAGGGACACGAACAGCGACGCTACCTCGAGGGAGAATCGTCGCCAACGGCGGGACTCGCGCGACCACGAGGACGGGGAGGACGATTACGAGGACGAGTTCGCTTGTCTGCGCCAGCATCGGCACAATAACCGGCAGTCCTCGCCCTCCTCGGTGCACAAAGGTCGGTTGTTGTTGTTGTTGCAGGCCAAAGGCTTTGTCCCTGTTTTCTTTTCCCTCCTTCGAGGCTGTGGGAAAGTTTGCTTCCTCCTTTTCTCGGGTGTATGACGGCTCCCCCCCCCCCCCCCTCCTCAGGTCTTCCGGGTGAAAAAAAAAAATCATCGATTTGGGTACAAATTCTTGGCCAAAGAGGCCTCGATTGCTCGACGAAGCTGATTTTTTTTTTTTTTTTTTTTTTTTTTTTTTTTTACAACCATACATGTATACGTACACGTGCGATTGGGCGGAAAATTGGCAATTTTCGCAATTTCTTGGAAAAAAAAAAAAAAAAACACAGTTCAGGGTGCAAGTAGGCCACACCAACTATCTTACCGCAGTGCCGAGAGTCCTGGGCTTCTGGAGTCCAAACTGCTGATGCGACGGCTATACAAGCAGCTTCCTTATGCTGCATTCCGCGCTCGTACACACACACACACACGGTGTATCTCTTTATATATAGGTAGAACAGATCGTATACATGTACGGCCCGACGGAAAAGTAATTTCGCCAGGCGCCGCGTTTATTTGTATATACAACTGCGGAAAAAGCTCAATTGTGAAATTGTACAACACCTACGCGTATGTAAACGCGTTTAATTTTAACGCGAATTTNCAATTATATATCTGGCCGCACTGGAATTCAAACTAGTTATCTGGTGTATAGCTTCGGGAGCGCGTTTATCTCATTCTGTGTTGAGTATCCGGTGGGAGTATTTAATTTTCGATTCACCCAATTAATAAGTACATAGGTACTCACCTACTTCCTTTTGGGCTCATTGGATTACAATTTGAAGAATAATTATTGTACATATAAATTAAGTGAGGGGAGGACTGTTTGCTCGTTTTCCTCGTGATTATATAATATAGTGTAAAAGGATCGGTTCGTTGAATAATTTTAATTGGCCGATACACGCATCGCGCGTAGATTTATGCACCTCGAATTTGTCGATGCGCTTTTAACGGATTTACTTACACGTTTATAGGTGAGTTTCCGCGCGTTTTTGATTTGAAAAGAAAAAAAAAAAAAAGATAAATGTATCTTTGCCAGTGGCATTAATCGCGTATCTGGCCGATTCCATATGTTATACCCTCCTTTTGCACCGTACCCGTACACACGTGACAACAGAAAATGCGATCTTTCGTGCATTTTATCCATCATCTCTCCCCGTTGTGCACGTACTCACGTATATGTAGGGCCGATGATCGGCCGGCCGATTAATTATGCATTCCCCGGCTATCTGCATCTGGGCTCTGTGCAACGGAGCCTTGGGGCTACGTAGCCGGAGAATCGTGTATTTATATTGTCCGCCTTTGTGTGTGGATGGGGAGAGAGAGAAAGAGAGGGTGAGAGGGTGAGGGAGTGTAATGGGATGAAATCGTTCCTCCTCGCGCGCTCGTTTCCGCGTCACGTATCCCGTGAGAAAACGTGTGTCGAGTGCACGTGAAATGCGCCTCGGCGACACGATCATCGGGACGATATGCGAATATGAGGATACATCGTTTCGGGTTTTTCTTTTTTCATTATTTTGATGTACCCTTGACGACGCTGGGAAAGCCGAGGTTTGATCGTCGGTGCATTGTGCACGTGATTGCTGATATGGGATTGTGTAGGTCATAGGTTGCTGCCTGTATGAAATAATCCTGGCGGTAATTCTGTCCTCGCGCGTCTGTGTAGCTTCAAACGATGGAAAGCCACTCTTTTTTCTTTCGTCAAACAAGTAAATGACAGGTGTGTTACATTATGCGCCATCGGCGTACCAGTTACACCGTGGTATTCGTGTGAAATATTTCCTTTTCTCTTCCCTCGTAACCCTCCGCGTTTTCAATCGTCACAAGTGATCATAATCCATTATACCGGTGTGAACTGTCATGTGTATTGCATACATGTAGATCAATCGATAACTGCAGGCAAAACCAATGTTTACTCTAAATTCCCGGTTAGATCAGTAGCCGCGAGGGGACAACACGCGCATCACGCACAGGAAACTCACGCCCCGCAGAAGGAGAGAGCCGTTACCCGAGCTGTTGCACACTTGTGCAACGTCCATCTATTTGTTGCACATACGTACATCAAAATGAATGGCCTCTGAAAAAAAAAAAAGAGTGATTGCTCGAACGATTTAGGCGCGCGATCGGTAAGCCAAATAAATCGTGTGAGGAATGAACGAAAGTAGCGCAAGCTGGTGGTGAAAATAATATCGAATTGCCGAGAGAGTGGGTGGATGCGCCTGTATCTCGATTTTACAATATTTTCCTTTTTCTTTTGCATCGTTCCGGCTTGCAGCATATAATATGTATATTGCACACGCGATTTATCAATAAAGCACATACGTATATTATCAGGTAGGAGGTATAGAAGTGCCGGCAGGCGAAATGCGCATCGATTTGTCAATTGTCCTGGTGTGCATACATGCACAACCATATATACACGCGAAAGACAAAGAAAACGATGTAGGATAGGAGGAGAAGAAGAATTGGAAATGCATGCGCTGGGATTTATAATACGTATACGGATGCGCTCGGTGTCATAAATAATTTAGCAGTTTCTTCGTATACGGTATATATTTATAATGTGTACATATTGTACCCTATACCTTCACAGCATGTATGGTGTATTATATACGGTTGCAGCGCAGGAAGTTGAGCGGAGATCCTATCGTTGTATAAATGGGAATGTTCCTTTGATTAAAACGCCCGGGCTCCGGTATCTATGCGTATATGTAACATGTTACTTTGATTTGTACTCGATAGAAAAGAAATCGATATTTTTTTTATCACCCAATTTGTCTTTCCACCACGTATCGTTGAATGTTCGCGCTTGTCTGTACCTTTATCGAGACACCTTGTTTTTCCGAGTGCAAAAATGGTACAATGAGGGCGGGTAGTTGAAAGTTACGAGGAGGTATAAAGGAACGATTAGCATAAATCGTACGCGAAAGCGTATACCCAAATCGATGTCAAACATTGCATGGTAATAATTACGTACGTGCCTATCTATACGAGATGCCTTTTATCGCAAGTTCAAGATCGAACTTTAGGTTTTTTCGCGCTCGTCGCACCGAGACTATAACTTTTTTCATTCCAAAGTTTCAGCGCGTCCCTCTCCATCCAGCGATCATTTCCCGCACCCCGTCCCCTTTTTTGCTCGTCAAAAAAGGACCCCCTCCAGCTGCAGCAAAGCTATGTATATATACATTATCAACTGCAAAAAGCTTCCTTTTACTCATCGACCCCGTGCCACTTGATTTTACGTATTTATGACATTTTTGTTTGTTTGTTTGTTCCCGTTCCCCAGACATATCGCTGCTGGGCGACAGCGTGGACGAGTCGATCCTGGACCAGCCGTGTCCGCAAATACGCTCCCATCACGGCGACGTCGTGGTGACGTCTTCGCCGGCCGACACGACAAACACTCTCATCGGACAATCGCCCCTCGTAAGTATACCTGTACCACCCGATAAGCAGCGCATAATGGCGCTACACTTATATGCACATATGTAGGTGGTTCTAATAATACCACGGTTCGGGGAAGCAATGGGAGCACCATTGGTTGTGTCGTCGACTTATATGCTACAGCATATAATATACATATAAGCTTCTCGAAATCCGAGACGCGTCTTCTTTGACGTTTACACTTACATGTATTGTATATATACACATTCGGGGAGAAAGAAGCGCTTGTCATAACATTTCGCGGTCGAGCTGCTTTTCGAAGTCGTCGCTCTAATGGGGGGAGGGGAATATTTTTTCAATATCCAGTTCCTACGGCTGTGACGTTAATATTAGACGTTCCCGGAAAACGTGGGTGTTTGAAATATGCGCTCTGTTTTTTCTTTGTTTAATCTCATGTAAAGTATGTTCGGAACGTAATGAGCGGAACGCGAGCGAAAAAATCGGCAAAATCGGCGTGTAAATTATACGTGTAATAATCCAATGAGCGATGTATTTTTCCACCACCACAGATCGGCGAGCACGTGATGAACAGCGCGGAACTGACCGCCCTGAAACACGAGGTCCAGCTGCTGCGCGAGCGACTCGAACAGCAGAGCCAACAGACTCGAGCGGCCATGGCCCACGCGAGGCTACTCCAGGATCAGCTAGCCGCAGAGACCGCGGCTCGCGTCGAGGCACAGGTTGGTTGACTTGCTTTTGATTTTTTTTTTTTTTTTTTTTTCGTGTAAGTATGATGTAAGCTATAGTGTAACGGGTGATGGTGGCGATTTGCGAAAAATGGATGAAACAGCAGCTGGAAACTAAAATCTACCTCAGAAGACTTGGATCATTTTATACATTTTTAAGCATTATCCAAAGTGTAATTTATTATTTTTGTTGGAAAATTTCATTTCCATTACCACGCGCGAGGCAGACAAAAACATTTTCAAAGAATAAAATTCATCACAAAGTATTCAAACGAATATTTAAATTATTGTTTCACGGTGTATAATGATGCATTTATTATTTTTGTTGGGGGAAAAATTTGTCCGGACAAATAAAATTGTCTCGGTAACTCGAAAAAACAAAGCTACAAGGGGCATTTAATGTTTTGCAGGCGCGGACGCACCAGCTGCTCGTCCAGAACAAAGAGCTGCTGGAGCACATAGGGGCGCTGGTGAGCCACTTGCGGGAACACGAGCGATCGGCCGGCGGCGTCGCAAGTAGCCCGACACCGACGAGCCCAGCCCAGGGCACCGGTGATCTAGGCCAGGTAACACTCTATCGCATTCCTTGACACTGCTCCTCGTTGACCAACGCCATCGATGTTCGTTTGTGATTTTTTTTTTTTTTTTCTTGATTTGTGCTTTTTTTCCCCCACACTTTGTTTCGTCCTGTGTGGCTTTTTTTCTCTTTTTTTCTCGCCGAATGTGCTTTCGACCCTACACGAAAATGAGACGCATTGCCGTTTGTTTGTCCGACGCCTGTTGATGTTATTTTCACTTTTAAAGTGTGTGTGTGTGTGTGTGTTCTCGATGTTGTATTTAACTTACAAAGTATTCAGAGTATACTTTTAATAATCGATACATCGTTTGATGGAAAGCCAGAGATTAATCAAACGGCACGTACGATGCTACATGTGGATTGTATGCGGACGACTGAGTACTTTGTATACGCGCGCTCTCTCGATAATTTGTATAGTTGGAGTGCGCGTGAGGAGTTTATTGAGAATTTGTTTTTGTTATCGAAACGAATATCTCAATAGGTGGTGTAAGTGAAACAAATGGATTTCATATACTCGGGCGCGTATCGATGATTCCCGAATTTTTTATCAAATTTACAGGTGAATCATTGCACGCGCTCGAATGAATCAAAAGCCTTTGAGAGGAAGAACAAAAAAGAGAGATCGGTTAGTATACTTAGTGTTTACGTAGTTATGCATATAGATAGCTAATTTAAGTATTTTAAGTGTAACGATGGATTATCATTATTATTATTATTAACGTCTAGTTCAAAAAGTACTTAAGTAATTATTGATTTGTAATGCGACGAAACGGCATGATGTAGCTGTTAATTTAGCCCCGTAGTTGTGGGAAATTTTACGAAAAATGCAATTTTTGTGAGATTACTTGTACATACAGCGAAAGACGAGCTATCGTTTTCAATAAATAAAAAAAAAAAATGTATAGTCTTTCGTACGCGTGAGACATGTATGCGCGTCTCTATTTTGTATATTTTAAGTTAATCATTCATTTCTCTCGGGGTCGAATCAATGTGTTCCTAAAAACCAATTCACATTTTTGATAGCTTGCGTATTAATTTGGAGCTAGAAATTTATTTTTTCGTATGACTACCACAGTTTTCGTGTAGTCGTGTGTTTTTACATTATTTTTATTTATATGATCCTTGAATCGACTGACGTGCTCTCTCAGTTCACGTTTAGATGTATACTTTTATACCTACTGCGACATTGATTTTGTATAATTTTTTTTTATACGTTAAACACACAAACAAGCATGTATGTCAATTGTGTTTTTAGTGTTATTTCAAATAAACGAAAAACAAAAAACTTTTTTTTATAAAAACCACCCACGTTTTTCTTTTGATTTTGCCTACTGTTATTTTTCACGCCATTATTCAACACTGATAACCCTCTCACTATGCTTGCAACGAATTTCCATGACCTTGTCAATGATTGATCCATGATGTGATTTTTTTTCTTAAAGCGCAAATCGAAGCTTGCGAAAAATCAGCATAGCTCCGAAAAACCCTAGTTTTTGTGCCTGAGTAGAGTACATCGAGCTTACCAATAACGAATTCACCGAACCAAAAAAAAAACAAAAAAACAAAAAAAACAAATATCCAATAACCGCCATGTTACTAATTAAACAGCTGCTGTACGACAATATGTGTGTATGTGTGTGCATTGCCTCTAACAGGTCTTTCCGCCACGTGATTTTGGAGTTTGCGCCACCAACGAGTGTTAGGTAATAATGAAAAAAATCAATTGACTAATGCACCAACCCTTCCATGAAAAAAAAAAAAAAAAATTACAATGTTCCGAAACGCAGTGCAATGCAGCGTCAACGTGGGATACAGCGCAGCACTGCAATCCCGTCTGTTCGGCGTACCCGTACTACCACCATCAACCACCTCCCAGCGCCTACGGGTACGCCAACAGTTTGCTCAACTACGCCGACGAGCTGCGCTACCAGGCCCAGCTCTGGGACAACGTCCGGTTGGCCGTGGGCAGCTCGACCTTCGCCGCCGCCGCGCCACAGCTCGCCCCTCCCCACCACCTCCCGGGCCCTGGACTCGGTCTACCGCCAACTGGACGAGCCGTAAGTTGAAACTCTGGTAGTCTGGAAGAAAAAAAAAAAAAAAAAAAAAAAACTCACATTACAAATGAAAAATTGTCGATTGATTTCAGCGCCCAACGCTGCCTCCCCTGTCGCCGTCCACCTTGCCCCGGCCGTCCTCGCGGCCCCACCTTCGGCCGGCGTTCCAGCAGCAGCGCTCCCGCTCCCTGGACCGTCCTCACCGCGGCACGGGTAGCCCCAAGGAAGTGTCCTTTATCGAGCCCTTACCAGCTCCGCCGGGCGCGCGGAGTTACCGGGAGGAAGCGGTGCAGACGGAGGCTGCGGTCTACCCCGAGCCGCCGGTGATTCTGTTGACGAAGCCGAACAACGGTCCCTGCGCGGAGGAGGAGGAGGAGGAGGAGAGCGGCCTGTCGGAGAAGGACGACGAGCTGCCCGAGCTGCCCGGGCCGGCTATACGACGCCGCAACAGCCAATGACCCAGCCTGGATCGCTGCTGGTACTTGAGCGTGTGAGCGCTGGGCGGTGGATTTTTTTTTTTTTTTTTTCAGTGGAAACGTTTTGTTTTTGATCGAGCGTGTTTTTGTACACCATCACCCACTTGATCGATAGTACGAGATGTTGCGAGTGGAAATAACTATAGATTTTTAAATATACGGAAGAAACGTGTACTTGTTTTTCTTCGATTCCTATGCGTATACGTTAACGTGTAATGGACGAGCAGTGGGAGGTCTAGGAGTAATGATGAACGGTGATAATAATGCAAAGGCCAAACAAATAAAACAAAAAAAATGATGGGAGCGGTGTAATTTTGCTTGTAGAGTTTTCGCCGAGTTCACGTTGTATGTTTGATCTTACTCCAGGGGACAATTGAACATCCAACAAAAGTGCGAACAAAAGAAAAAAAAAAAAAAAACAAGCATTTAAACATTAATTTAAACGAAGCAATGTAATTTATGAGCAATTGATTGTTACGGGCATTAAACACAATGTACTCTTTGTACATGCGGTATCCTATACATAGTTCGATGAAGGAATTTTATACGACGACTAATTAAATGGACGTAAGGGTTGTTGCCAAAGATGATGATGATGATGATGAATACTACTATTACTGTTGTTGTTGTTGTTCTTGTTAACTTCATTACTGCACACGTGAAAGTATACGTGTCGCAGAGGATGTAAAAAATAAAACGCGCCACGACAATTGTATGCATATACATACTTAGCTATACTCTGCGAGGAGAAAAACTATATATTATCATGTTGGACAAAGTTTTAACAACAAAATACAAATTTGAAACAAAAGTTGTATTTTTGTTTTTCCTTCCTTGTACAAACAAAGAGTCACGAGGGAAAATGAGAAGAAGAAAGAGGACACCCGATAATCTTCCAAACGCATATGTATACATAGGGTAGACATTATAGGTACACAAACACTCTAATTAATTCATCGAGTGGGTAAAAATGTTTGTCCAGAGTCAAGAGCCTCCTTCTCCTCCCGCCTTGCTCCCTTTGCTCGGAGGTGCCCGTACTCACAGCCGCGGAGGCCCCAGGGGCTCCTGGGGAATAGGTGCGCCTCTTTCGCCGTCGTCACGCATCGTCCTACCCATCTCTTTCTTTTATCTCTCGCGGCGCATATGTTTTTTTTTCCATTTGGCCTTTTTTTCCCCTCCATCCCACGGGGCGACAAGTACCCGGTGATCGTCAGAGCGCAGTCGGGACGCGATCGCCGCGTCGGCTCTTGCTCCCGATTGTTTTGTTTCTTGTACAATTACTCGTTTTTTGTTTTTCTTCCTTTCTTTCTTTGCTTTCTCGAGTATTGGAACATCCAACAGAGTGCTCCAGTTCAAAGCAGTAAAAGTTACTTTTTGCTTGAGTATATAGTAACGCGTTTCTTACCGATCAGCGAAACAAAATTCTTTTAACAACGGAAAAAAAAAGGGTAATCGCGTGTGGTACCTATACATCTCGAAGCAAAAAGTACATGGAGGGCAGAGGTGAAAAAACGTCTCCGGTGGCTCGGGAGGTGGCGCAGTCGCCCTCAGCGATGCACCGACCGATGCAGAGTATCCTCAGGGTGGACACCTACCAGTCGCGCGTCCACCGAGTCACTTCGCCGCGGCTGTTGGCATCGCAGGTAAGCATGGGTACTATGCCGATATTGCTTGATGATTGCGACGTGGGTACAAAAAAGGGGCAAGAGGATAACGATCTCTAAAAATGTACCACAGAAAGGGACAGCAGAGGGGGCTTTTAAGAAATTGATTGGTCTGTACGTATGTATACTGATGAAAATTGACGGGCCCTTCTTCGAAATCGTCAATTACACGGGTATCGGACACATTATTTCACCTGTACGTACCTTATCAAGAGCCGTGTATTTAACCATCACATTTGCTTGTCAAACAGGAAAAAAAAAAAGAAGGGCAGCGAAATCGGTAAACGACAAATGATGAAAAGGAGGGAGGGTACCGAAAGGCTCGTCGTTCTTTGAAATAAACCAATTACCCAGAAAAGCAATAAATCGCCCTCCCCTCGAGGATATTATTATTATTATTTTTTTTTTTTTTTAATACATGTATAACCCACATGTGGAATCAAGAGTGGGCATACGTTTATATATCTCGTGACTTCCGCTTGTTAGGGAGTGCCGGAATTGTTGTATTATTATTATTATTGGTGTTGTTGTGTATACATCAACACTGAATTTCGTAATGGATAATTTCGCGCTTCGGCAGAAAAAATTCTACTCGTGATATCCTATATTACACGAGACTCTTTGGTAAGTATAATATAATATATTATACGCTCGGCCTTGGCAAGCAACATATTACAAAATCCATTACATGTGGCGTATACACGTATGATGGCTTATTGTGACGCACGTAAATATACATCAACTTTGGAACGTATTTTGACTTTTCATGTCACATAAATTTGTCACTCAATGTTGTAAAGTTGCTATTTTTCAAAAGTAGTCGAAATACATTTTCTACTAATGAATTGTGGAATGAAAAAAAAAAAAAAAAAAAAAAATATGATCCAAAAGTCTATTCGATCGCGCGGGTGATGGGCCATACACAAACCGATAATCAACCGGTCGCGTGTGTGGGTACTTGTAATAATTCAGCCGAATCCACGTAACGAAGAAACCCTCAAAGTCGGCGAGGAGAGAAAAAAATGAAATACCACCCTCGGTTGAATATAGATCACGAAACATGCGCGTCGCACGCAACGATGTATCAAAAGAACGGTGATTTTTTTGCCCCCTTCATACAGTGCCATGTCGTTCTGTTTTTCCCGAGAAACAGTATAGCTGCGTGCAACACGTCGCGCTCGCGTTTGTATATTCATAAAGCTCGTCGAGTGATTAGCACCACGAGGGGGTGTGGAAAAAATACACACTATACACGCGCTCGCCCGAGGCCTTTCGTTTCACGATTCCCGTTTACGCTTCATTTTTCCGTTGATTTGATTCAAGCTGGAATTTTTACCATGTCACCTGCACAAGGGTTATTACTCCACTCGATCTTTCGTGCACAAATCAAATAAACGAACTTACCTACCCCCATCGGATCGACGCGCTACGGGAAGAAGATGAAGATAAAAATGCTCATCATGGCTTAGTCGTACGTAATCAGGGTCACAATGAAAAATCACTGTGAGTTTGTTGCTGATTGGCTCGCTAAATCTTCAGATGATGTTGTCTCAAAACCATATTCAATACACACCCATCGTGTAAAATCCAAGAGTAGGTTTTTTTTATTTTCCATCAACTCGGTCGAACAACGGATAACTTACGTTTGAAAAAGGGTAATCATACAAGCGCGTGAGGGCGCGGCGTCGGAAAGAAAAAGTCATCCCGTGAAAATGACAGTAGTGCCGGAGGAAGCGTAGGCACACACACCGAACAAAAAGCTCGTTTATCTTGTTTTTCTCATTTTTTTCCTTCACCCCCCCCCCCTACCCTTGTTATAATATACGTAATACACGGCAACTCTGAAACAACTGGTTGGCGCATTAGCTTCCCTTTCGCTCGGAAGGGCCAATTGAAGTTTTTCCCCGTGAAAACCGTACAGTCATCGAATGAGATTAAAAACAAAACAAAAAAGTGAATTTTAAGTTTGCGTTTTCACAGTGTGTGTACAGGCAGATAAATAAAAGCGTGATCATACACGCGTAAAACAGAAAATGTATACAATGTAGAGGGAGTATATATGGACTGGCGTGCGCGAAAAGGGCGCTCGGGCGCTGATTGCGGGTTGTCCGCAGGCGAGTAAAGTAATACAGCAGCGGCGCCTCGTCCCGTTTATGAGCGATGGTCTATGGGAGAGCTAAGGTGCGGCGGGGGATGAAGAAAAGAAAAAAAAAAAAAAAAAAAAAAATATGGGCCAAGCTCTGGGGTGGACGAGCAAAAGCGGCAACAGTAGTTGGGGGCGCGTGTCCAGAGATAGATTAGCTGCTTTGTGGCTTACTGGCGATACGAAAACACAAATATGTATGCGCGTACTTGGTAAACCGATCGTCACCGCCGATCATGCCAAGTTATTATGTACGCTATTAAGAATCTCAGCCGATTGCTGCTGTTCCAGCATCAAACGGAGCAGCAACAAGTGCGTGTCTTTTCCTCTATTGTTTGTCGTTGTGATTTTTTAGTGGCGTTAAATCATGATACGTGCATGTGCAAGTATAAAAAAGGTGAGTTGCTTAAAAGCCCCCCTCCCCCACCCACAGTTTTATCGGTTGCTTCGATCGTGATCGGTAAGGTATATCGGTAGTATATTGAATACATGTATACCTATACACCCAAAATTGTTTTTTTTTTTTTCACAAGAAGTGGGTGAAAATTGTTTGTATCGTAATCACGAGTAATTTATAACACCTCCATTATACATCAGTTACCGTGATAGCAATAATTAAGGGAACTCGTGGTCCAAAAAAAAATGTATTATTATTGATCGATGAAACAACGAAATTTGATGATGAAAAAAAAAAAAAAGGTCGAGCCATCGTCGCCTCAGCCGTCGGTCGACAGGTTGTCGGTCACCTTCGCCATAGCCGAGCGAAGCTGCAGCAGCGACGGCCAGGAGGCGACCTCCCCCCCACCAGGGCTGCCCCTGGCCAGTCCAACGAGTCCGAACTTTGACTTCAACGGTCAGCCCCGCAAGCGTATCGACACCATCGACTCTGGCAGTACCGGGAAACCTGACGGGCATCGGCTTGCCAGTATCGGTGGTTAGTATACATTAAATAGCTGCACCAATGGCCAAACGATAAAACACCACGTATGTTATGTAGCCCCGGAAAGCGAAGAGGCGGCGGATGCGGACTACTCGGTATCGGCGAGCGCGATCATCCAGAGGCGCAACTCGTTGCGCCGGCCCAGTCGGAGGAGGCGCCGGCCCTCCTCGCCCTTCAGTCCCGACTACGAGGGCGCGCTCGCCAGGCGACGCCGCTCCTCCGTTTACACCACCAGCTCCGGCGAGTGAGTACAACACCTTTACACGGATCCTCTTGGTTTCATTCATTATGCGTGTACGTGATTGTGACGAGGGATATATTTCATGGCCAGTACTGCCATATCGATGATGGACGTGGAGATGATGCAGGTCAACCAGGAGGAGCAGATCTCGATGAACCTGAAGATACACAAGGACGTGCTGAGCGGGGCCAAGTCCCATCCCTGGCCGTTGTGCAAGAAACTCAGGCTTATCAGGCAGGCCAAGAGCTACATAAGGAAGCACGAGGGCGAGCTACAGGAACGGCTCGCCCAGACGCGCAGTACCAAGGACTACGTTGCTCGTACCAAGCTGCTGTTCTCCAAGGTATACAACCATTTGAGCGTGGCTTGTTTTTTTCTTTCAATATACCATATGTATAGGTGCGTTCATTAAGTTGTTTCGTTGGGATTGCAGAAGTGGCAGTACTTCAAACGAGAAGTGGTGAACTTTAAAACGGTCCTCGTGCCCTGGGAGAGCACGATCAAGCACATAGAGTCCCAGTTCGGCTCGGCGGTCGCTTCGTACTTTATCTTCCTGCGCTGGCTCTTTTGGTTCAACTTTGCTATTTCCTTCCTCCTCGTGGCCTTTGTCGCCATACCCGAGGTCAACAGCACAATGCGACAACCTCCCTCCCTCCCTCCCTCGCACATATAAAGTATATATACACATAATATAACATAAATATGGGCATTTACAGTTGCTGGCCACCATGCGAAACACAACGATACCAGGTGAGCGCAAAAACATGCTGCCCGAGGAGCTCGAGCGCGCCGCCCATCCGCGCTCCATATGGGAATTCGAGGGCCACGTCAAGTACTCGCCTTTTTTTTACGGCTGGTACTCGGACAGGTACAAGAACAGCACCTACAACCAGCCCCTCACCTACTTTGTCGTACAAATCATCGTCTACACGTACAGCTTCGTGGCCATTTTGCGCAAGTGAGTGCTTCTTTTTTTTTCTTTCTTTTTCTTACACCTACATCAATTACAAATGTCAAACGTTCATTTGTACGTGAAATTTCGAGAATGGCCGAGAACTCGCGGATGAGCAAACTCTCGGAGAAGGAGGACGAGTGCGCGTTCTCGTGGAAGCTCTTCACAAGCTGGGATTTCATGATCGGTAACGCGGAGACGGCCCAAAACCGGATCGGCAACATCGTACTCGGCTTCAAGGAGGCCCTCGTCGAGGAGTCGGAGAAACAACGAGTCGCGCGCAAGTAACGACCAAACGACACGTCGTATTTATACATTTATGCGTACAAACGACAATAATTCTCTCGCAGCTGGAAAATCGCGAGCATAAGGGTCCTGGTGAACGTCGTGGTGTTTCTGATGCTCCTCGTGTCTGCCTACGTCGTCGTCGAGATAGTCGATCGCAGCGAAAACAGTCACGAGGCCAATCTCAACTGGTTCGCCCAGAATCAAGTGAGCATCGTCCTCGGACTGATCACCTACGTCTTCCCCATTGCTTTCGAGATCCTAGGTATGATCGAGAGCTATCACCCGCGCAAACAGCTCAGGTTCCAACTATTCCGGTGAGCTTGCCATAATATATTGTTTGTCTGTATATACTCATTACCTTTTAACACTTATTCAATGAAAATAAATATATATGATATGTACCTTTGGGGGTGGTTGTGTGCGTGTTGCAGCATCATGATCCTCAACTTGCTCAACATGTACTCCCTGATTTACGCGCTCTTCAAAAAAATCAACTCTTCGGTAAGACTCTTGGACAGTAAAACTATTTTGGCCCAAGCAAAATGTAAGCACATGTCATGTTCGTATCGAAGGAAGTAGAGCTCCAGAGTTTGAAGCCTAAGGTAAGCTCGAGCACGACGAGCACGTGCTACAGGAAGCTCGTGCAGTGCGAGCCGAGTGTCCTGGCCACGTCGGCGTTGGCCGTGATGAGCCTCGTCCTACAGCCCAACGTGTCATCCATCCCAAAATCACCAAACGCCACGACAAACCAGTCCGAACTGGGTCTCAGGTGGGTACATGTAATAACGCAGTGCGACTGATTCAATTACGACCCTGAAATTGTGTTTTTTTCCCCCTTGTTTCGGTAGCGAGGCTTACCCGACGTACGACTCCCCGAAGACGTTCGGCCTGGACGTGAACGACATATACTCCCTCCTGGGCGACGACGAGGACAGCGAGGGCCCAAAGAACTACATCGACTGGGAGAACAACGTGGTCTGGAGTTCGCTGAGCGTGGAAAACGACACCGCTAACGCGACGGAGGGGATGAGCAGCTCTTACGGTCCACCGAGGGCGGAGGACGGCTATCCCCACGTGGACTACGATTACGAGGGCTACTGGGACGAGGACAACCGGACGGAGGGATCCACCACGGAGCAGCCAGTGACGCCGGGAGTCGAGAGCTCGACTGCGAGGACCATCACTACCAACGAGCCTCCGACCGTGAGGCCGATACACGATGCACAGGCAGCGCCGACCACTGCCAAGGCCGTCCCGTCGACGACGCGGCTGGTGGGAGAGCCCTGCACCGGGAGGGTCGTCGAGTGCTACGAGCGAGTCTGCTCGAACGAGACTGGGTCGTCGGAGGAGGACTACTTGGGTATGCCTTTCAAGTGTATTTTAAATGTACCATGAATGATACGTTGCGTGAAACCTCCAGTGTCGAGGGCGCCGTTGGACATGACCACGCGACGGAAGCTCAAGAACCTCTGCTGGGAGACGATGTTTGGCCAGGAGTTGGCCAAGGTCACGGTCGTCGATCTCGTGCTGACCTTCATATCCGTGCTGGCGATCGACTTTGTTCGGGCGCTCATGGTGCGCTACTTCAACGATTTCTGGTGCTGGGACCTCGAGAAGCAGTTTCCCCAATACGGCGAGTTCAAGATAGCCGAGAACATCTTGCATCTCGTCAACAATCAAGGTTGGTGATGGGTGCGGTGTTACTGTCATGGTAGTGTGTTGTTGGGGCTTGAAGTTAATAATCAAGTGCTCGTCTCAGGGATGGTGTGGATGGGGATTTTCTTCAGTCCGGGCTTGATCCTCCTGAACCTCGTGAAACTCGTCATTCTGATGCATCTGCGCTCCTGGACCGTCGTCACGTGCAACGTCCCCCACGAAATTGTCTTTCGGGCCTCGAGGTACAGTAGGCGCATAGATTACATTTTTATACCAGCAATATTCAACTACAACTTTTGCATACGGGACCTGTATTTCTTTTAATTTTCTTAAATTGATCTGTGGCAGTAGCTCCAAATCGTAAGACCGTATATTATGTACAAAACCCCGATCTTTTGGCACTGCAGGTCAAACAATTTTTACCTGAGTTTGCTGCTGACGATGCTGTTTCTGTGTGTGTTGCCGGTCGGCTATGCCATCACTTGGGTCGAGCCGTCCTGGCACTGCGGACCATTTTCCGGTTACAAGAGAATCTACCATCTGGCGACAAAAAGTCTGCGAGACGCTTTGCCGACTTACGTGCTCGAATACAAGTAAGAACCGATCGAGCGATCTTACAAATCGTTGCTTATGGTGTGGAAGAAAAAATAGTTGCTCACGGTTTTTATTCGGTTCTGTTCTCAAGGATACTCGACTACATAGCGTCACCTGGCATTGTGATTCCACTGATTGTCCTGATGACTTTGGTGATTTACTATATGGTTTCGTTGACGAATTTGTTGAGGGAGTCAAACAACGACTTGAAGGTAGGGAATCTGCCACAAAGTTTTGCAAACGTCCTCATTTCTTGTTGTTTTTTTTTTTTTTTTTTTTTTTTTTTTTTCTTCTTTCAAAATAGATTCAACTGAGAAAAGAGCGCACGGAGGAGAGACGCAAGATGTTCAAGATAGCCGAGCAGAGACTGGAATCCAACGACAAGAACAAACAGTACGGCAAGTGGGGGAGCTTGGTGCCCCAGCTGAGCGTAGTTAAACAGGGTATGTACAATATGTTACGTAAAAAAAATTTTAAAAATAGAGAATAAATCGTTTATCTGCGCATACAACAGCCAAAGAGAATCACGAGAATCAAAAACAACGTTCAAGCGATGATTCCGAGTACGGCGAAAACACGGAAGGTGAGCAAGAGTCCCTTCCCCACGATCAGCTACCAGCACCTGCAGCACCAGTTACCGATCTGCCAAAAGACAAAAGCGCGACGACATCGGTTGATAGGAAAAATACGTGCAGGGCAGGACCATCCCACGAATGCAGTGGGACCATTCCTCGAATACGCATTAGCGGCGAGGAGGAGCATGCTGGTGGTGACGAGCCGCTAAACTCGTTGGCCTCTGAACCTACAGACAAGGATTAAGTTGATACGGGGCAATCTATGCCTTGTGAATGTTGTACAGAAACAAAGAAATACAATAAAAACCACTAATTTACATTGTGTTGAAATTATGTCGATTGTATTTAAAAAATTATGTGCAGGTCCGTAATACTCAAATTGACTTTTTCATTTTAATGTGATTGTAATGTTATGAATACTGTTAATTATACATACATATTAGTGTAAATAAACTATATTCTGTGGTGCCTCGTGGGTTGGTTGTGCCTTACAGGTAAGACCATAGTATTTTGCACAAACTTAGCCGTTTTGTTTAAAGAAAAAATTTTTTATTCACAATACAATTACTATTTACAAAATCCAAAAAACATTTTTTATAAAAAGATTATTGAAAATCGGCCAGAAGTGCCACAAACATCGTGTAAAATTTTTTCCAAAAATTCGTTCTTATGCTACGCAAGTACAGATATAATATAATAAAAATCTGTTATAATATGATCTCTTATAGCATAATTTATTATTTTATACTTAATATTATTTGCACCAATGATTGAAAAAGTTGTCATGAACCTCGTTGCAGGTATATTTCATACTCAAGCTACATACATAAATATACATATACACATAGCATACACAAATACATTCACAAATAAATATATACACATATAGAATTCACGTATTTTGGTGATAAAATTCGAAAAATTTTACACTTTGCATACATACATAAATATACATATACACATAGCATACACAAATACCTTAACAAATAAATATATACACATTGATAAATTCATTAAATCAATTCCATTTCAATTTAAGTACTATTTATAATTGTATTAATCAAATGAACACTCACCAGGTTTTGTCACGATACTTCAGTAATGTCCCGTTGGTAAAGCATTAATTTTCAAAACAATGCATTATCATTACTGACGAAGTGATGATAACATTGATTTTTTTCGCAAAATTTAATCTTTATGAAAAAAAACGACGTACGTGAAAAGCGTTGCGATCGAGTGCGATTAAAAAGCCTTGTTGTCGACTTCTTTTTGTACCACAGCATCAGCAGTTGTTGTATCAATATCCGTGACAGAAACAATCAAATGCGAATCTCAAGAAGCTTGTATCTCGTCAATACTTAAGCGAGTAATAAAACGCAGCCTCATTTGTAAGGCAGGTCGCAACCTTCGGATTATCACATCGAGATCATTCTTCATCGAGTCACCTATGAACATGTACTTAATGTGGTAGCTATTAATTTATGGTTAAGGAAACCACTGAATTTCAATTGACGATTTTTGATTTTTCTGGCAAAAGGATACAATAAATCACATATCGGGTCCATGTGCTTAATATGCGTTTGTGAACAATTCACTTGATCAAGCATCATGTACAGCAACATGGTAGTTTCCAAGACAGACTTTTGAGACTTTTCTGAGTTAAAGCGGTTCAAAAGTGGACCCACCAAGTGGCAAACAAATAGCAATTGTTCTTCAGTCTTAACAATGGGTAGAAATTTTTCTTTCATTATTCTACAAAAGAAAAGTAATGTACAATAAACTGTTAACTAATTGAGACATTTAAATAGATCTAATACGAATTCTTACTGAGCCATAGTGACGATTTGTCCGAGTACAGCGTGATGCCAAATAGAATGAGCAAGAGCAATCATATAACTGTATTTATTTTCAAAAAAACTGTTATGTGTCAAATTAAAATTGTACAACTGGAATGGTGATAAATTGTCGTACTGCCAACTGGTCGAGCCTAAGCTCGTTATTGTGTCGACAAGACGATTGTGCAAAGTTGACCAGTAACATTCGGGCAGTGATGTCATTATTATGCCAATGCAGTTGATCCACAAATGGATTTCGTCAGATGGAATTATCGTGTACCTGAAACCAAGTTTTAGATGTTTATTTTGTGTTGCACCACAAGTATATTTTTAAAATATACTTACCCCTTGGCTACTACGTCAAGCAAATTATTTGCAACTACGTTCGGAGCTACCGGTAGTGCCATCAGTTCAACGCACGTTACGTACAGCGTATGAGCGGTTGGATTGGGGAATTCGTTAAATCTCCAGTCTGTCGTTGGAAATTGTGCTCTACCTGATATAGCTGTAAAAATGATGGATTAAAATATCGTATTTATAATTTGTGTCATTACAATTTATTCTTACTTTCAACTAGCCGTTGAACCAAACGAACGTAGTACTCTAATTCCGGCTGCCATTTGACGTCGTCATTTGGTCGAGCCATGTATCTTTGGTAAGCATCAGACAAAGCCCAGCCAGGTGCTCTGATTTCTCTTAGTGAGCCTAATATTGCTGTGACGAGGCGCTTTTTTAACGGTTGCTTATCTCGTAATTTTTTTTCATAATAATGCAAAGTGTTGTACAAATAAGTAACTGGCCGATCTAGAAAAACATCACTCAATCATATGATGATTCAGAAACACAATGGATACCCGAAAAAACTGGACTTACCGTGAAATCTATACAAACAACCCAAATGCTCTAAGAGCACTTCAAGGCTCTTGGTAACTTGCGGAATTTCAAGATAACGATGCAACACTATGTCGAAAACTGGTAGAAACCTCAAACAAACATTACCAAAGTAGGCCGGAAAAGTTTGGTACTGATTTGGGCTACCGGATGATTGTTCAATGAATCCTTCAGGAGCGAATTTCTCTGGGAACTTGCGATGAAAGGCCAAGTGCTTCTCATGCCAGTTTGACTGTTTCCAGTGGTCTGGTGAGTTTTCTTTGACAAACTCAACTACTCGATTGCGGAATTCCGCCGCCTTTAGCAGCAACAATTGTATTACAAAAAAACAAACCTGGGCTTCGTTACCTTCGAGAGTTCTGAGTGCCTTTCAAGTGAAAAACAAAATTTCGAAATACTTTTTTTGCAGTAAAAAAAAAATGTATATTATTAAGCTTTTGCTTACCAAACATAAGACCAATCTATCAAACGTAACAATATTATACTTCCAAATCATGTCATTAATAGCGTCGACACTTTTGTTAACGTAACTGCCATCACAAGCGCAACTTGAAACTTCAAAGACAATATAATCACAGAATCTCCGAAGATGGGTGGATAAAGCTCGAGCTCCAATTCTCTCTAAAATTCTAATAACGAAATAATATAACTAGATTTGAAGTAATAGTAAAATCACAGTGTTAATTCAATTTAACTAACTTGTAAATTATTGGATTGATACGATCCGTTTCTGCAATCATTTTCCATAAAAGACAGAGGAATAAAGGAGGTGTGTTTGGGACGGAAAAGTGAGCAATTATGTCATTTTCGTTGCTCATGGAAGCCCAATTTCTGTACTCTTCTTCAACAGCTTTCTAGAGATACAAACAATGTAAATAACAATAATGTCACATGGTTAATAAATATCGAGTAGTTATCTATCTCACTTTTATCTGTTGCTTTTCTTCCTTTGGAATACTATTTTGTTGAAAAAATTCACTCAGTGTAGGCGGGAAGCACTGCAACGTATGATCTGCCCACGAGTGGGGTGTGTTTTGCATAATCGTGTTAAGTAACTCCTTACACCATGTGCCACTAATACTATCTGATCCCGTTCCAGTTATGTGCATGGATCTGGCTAAGGTCAGTACCAAAGCTCTGTTGAGTTCCTCTGAATCAGCAGAGACGAGAGTTTTTGGTTCAGACAAGAATCTTGACAGATGCGGCTGAACTTCGGCTGAGCCTAGGCCAGTTATTAAACGCAGAGCAGTACTTTCAACGCTAAAAGTTCATGGGATTGAATTACGTACATCCAACTGTAGATTTTTCAAGTTAACAACACAAGATTCATTTACCAGAGATGAAGCTGAGTTTGATTAGTTTGTGGCACGGCGGCAAGACTGTGCAAATGACTCAGAATTTGTACTCTGTAGGTTGGCTGGATGTGATGCATCCTATAACTAAACATGTCCAAGAGCGTATAAAGTATACCCCAAGCATGAGCTTTAAAAACGGTCGGTAATAATTGATCTGCAAACAAAATACTCAAATTAGTTTTCGACATTCCAATCTTTTGGATTTATTTCATTTAAACCGACACATACTGATGAATTTTTTGATACCAATACTTTCGATTTCTGTGTACACTAATAATCTACTGTAAGTCTCAACAAGGGCCGGTGGCAGTGGCAAGTTACTTTTTGTTGAGGCTGATTTGGCCACATGTGTAACAATACTGTGTATTAAGCTCATTTTTACGTGGACGGTTAACGAATCGAGTATGGACATGGGCAGTGGAGCTGTGGGACTATTTGCCAGTGACGAATTATTTTGCAAACCTTGCAGAGGCTGCTGCTGCTGATTCTGCGACTGTTTAAAAATTATTGTTGCTATTCGAAAATTTTTCTAGATAAATCGAAAATTTTTTATCTTTTACCTTTTGTGTACCCAATACTGATTCTACCAGAACAGCCATTGGTCTCGTAAATAAATCATTACAAGTTGAATAAGCATTACACAATAATGTTATTCTATAATCTGAGCCCATGCAAAGAGACGTGTTTTGCAAGGCCATGTGTTGAATAAACCTAAAATTAGAAAGTAAATTAGACATGTGTTGATCATTATTTCAAAATACAAGTAAAATAATAAAATTCTCACTCGTGATGTGTTTTTAGATTATGAGGAATAAATCTATGAATATTGGAATGATCTGTATGAGTCTTTTTTAAAAGATGTATCCAGATCGAAACAGCAGCCATTTGATGAGTGCACGCCAAATTGTTTAAATTTGGAACAGGCAGTGATTCTTTTTCAGGGTATAAAAGGTCATGCAGTTTAAAAATTGGTAAAAATATTGCAATCTGCGAAAATTGAAAAAAAAAAATTAGTCTAAATTTTTAACTAAACGAATAAGTTGAAAACAATAATTACAGGCTTTCTTTGAATACTGCCAGAAATAAATTGAAGTAAAACCCACATAAGATGGTCCCGAGATTTCTTCCATTCTCTGCCAACAAGCTGTAATTGGCAAAAACAGTTTGCTGATTAGTACATCAGAACAACAAGGAACCAAAATATGTTGTAACAATGTTTTACCTTGTCGTGTATGGCAAGAACAAAACTTGGAAAAACAGCAAACTGTGCTAATACATAACAAATTATCAATGATGACAAGTGTAGCCACGGCCAATGATTTGTTGCCGCCTCTTCTGAGCCTTCTGGAGGTGTAGGTTCATTTTCTGCTTTTTCCATGGTTTTTATCACTAGCTCTACTAGCTGTTCTTCCAAAGCTGCACATTTTGTGATTTGTTGTTGAGTTTTGCTTTGTAGGCCTAGCATTGAACAAACCATGTCTCTGCTGTAAGGTTGCTCCAAAACATATCTTAAAAGCTCAGTCTGTGGTTTCAACATTTCTGCATCATAAGGAAGAAATCCTCTGAACTTAAATTGTAACGTATCACGTTCCAACACCCATGGAACCACCAAGTGATCTCCATACCCTGAGTGCTCAACAACTGGCAACATTTTTGAATGGCCAACAATCGAAATCATTTGTACTACATGTCGAAAACTTTCTATAAAGTTTGATATCAATTTTTTTAGCTATAAAAAAAATGTAAACACGTTTTAAAATAAACTTTTAAATTATAAAATTTTCATACGATAAATAAAATTTACCCAATGAGGCCACTCATTGTTCTCCGGAAGTTTCTGAAGCTCATTGATAATCAAATAACTAGGCAACAGACACGCATTCCTGTCAAATATGTACTCAATCAGATTTTCCAAGACCCTCATCTGAGGTTGTACCGAAGCATCCAGTCTAGTAGGCAACGAATGAGCTTTTTCTTTACATGCCTAAAACAAAATGTAGACATTATTTTTCATCATATTAGTAAGTCAAAATGAAAAAAAAAATAAACAAAATCTATCAACACTACCTTCATGATTTGTCTGACACCCTTGTAATCAACACCACCAATTATACGTCTGATCAAAGTGAAACACTTGATCCAAAACTCTTCATTTTGATATTGCAACTTGTCACAGCTCAATATACAATCGCAAACCAACCTGAACGAAAAAAACAATAAAAAACATTGCCCATCATGGAAATGCAGGTACCAATCAACAACTTACTTGGCAGGCAGAACATTGGTTGAAACCATATTTTCCAACAGCGATAGTATTAAATGCATACGTTTGCAATTGGTCGTGTCTGCCAGGGTATGCAAAAACTTTCGTATGGCGTTTTCTTGCTGCTCTGGCGTCAGACTCAACATAGCAGTTGTAAGTTCTCCCTGCCATCTCGTTAGCTTCTCTTTTTCGTTGCTTGTGTCGTGCACTATGATGCAGCTAAACGCCTCTTCTATAGCTTCCACCCTCTAGTCACACAATCACGATTTTAATAGCAATCATAAGTTTACTTGGAAAGTAAACAACCGACAGGTAAACAGAGAATTAAGTATACTCACGAGAATCTCATTAAGGATGCTAACGATCTGCGACTCGTTGCCCATTTCGTTTACTATACCTTTATGACATGTTACGTGTAGTAACAGTAGTTATTTAATTAATTTCTTTCACAAAGAGAAAACCTTAACATTATTAATTTTTAGATTTTCGAGCCAATGCACAAGTCCACGAATACACGCACACCGTGCGCACACACTATCAAAATATAAGGTTACGTCCACTCAGGAGTCCTGAGTCAGGACTCTGAAATTAACTATATATAAATATAGCGACTATATGTAAGTTGCAGCTGTTGAACATTTTGCTTTTGCCAGCACCGGCGAATTCCATCTTTGCCGCTTTTAATACGAGTTAGTCTTTTATGAGCTACTATTTTTTCCAAATAATCGATACTTAACAACTAAATATAAGTATTTTACAACATTCCCTGTGCAAGTGTGCAGTGTGATAAACTGAACTAATACATGCAAAGGGTACGAGATATTGTAGGTTTGTATAAATTTTTAATTACAAATCATTCAGGATATTGTAGATTTAAGTAGAGGGGTAGGGGACAGCAGCTGACCGCCACCAACACTGTCACCGACAGTCATGGGTTGTACTTATTCCGCAAATGCTGCCACAGCAGTTAAGTTTCGTAGGTCGTGGTAATAAAAGGCCGTATGGTCGGGCGGCGCTAGCGTCAACCTGTACTAACTGTCGATGGGTTCCGCATGTCAACAAACTTCGATATTTTTTACTGTTTTCACTCCCATGCCATCCGATATTTCGGAGTTGTTGTCAACAGTAAAAAATATCGAAGTTTGTTGACATGCGGAACCCATCGATAGTTAATAAGTACAGGTTGACGCTAGCGCCGCCCGACCATGCGGCGGCGTTACCACGAATACCACGACCTACGTAACTTGCACAGTTTAGGCCCTAGAGCCATTTAATCACTTATAAACCAGCCACAACTTTTGAAATAGATACAAAATAAATAATTAACGATGTTTGTGCTACTTGCGGCAAATTTGCAGTGTATGTTTTACACGAATATCAACCTCCTATATATTCAAACTTTCGGGTAATAGATATGTTGTAAACTTGCCGCAAATAGCACAAACAACTTTATCTTTTCATTTTATAACCATACAATTAGTTGCGGCTGGTTTATAATTGATTAAATGGCTCTACTGTAAGTAGTAATAATCATTTGGATTAACGCCATCTAGCGGTCGTGATTTTTTTGGCCAAAAATTGCTTCTGAAATTCTGAAGGAGAGATTTAGGCAGTTTAGCCCTAGAGCCATTTAATCACTTATAAACCAGCCGCAACTTTTGAAACAGATACAAAATAAATAGATAACGATGTTTGTGCTACTTGCGGCAAGTTTGCAGTGTATGTTTTACAAGAATATCGAGCTCCTATATATTTATACTTTCGGGTAATAGATAAATTGTAAACTTGCCGCAAGTAGCACAAACATCGTTAATTATTTATTTTGTATCTATTTCAAAAGTTGCGGCTGGTTTATAAGTGATTAAATGGCTCTAGGGCTAAACTGCCTAAATCTCTCCTTCAGAATTTCAGAAGCAATTTTTGGCCAAAAAAATCACGACCGCTAGATGGCGCTGATCCAAATGATTATTACTACT